CTGTCACTCTCTGTCCCAAAAATAAATAAAAACGTTGAAAAAAAATTTTTTTAAATTAAAAAAAAAAAAAACTAACCAAGGCCGGGAAAACGCCATGTTTCGGGCTAAAGTGACACCGTTAAAACCTACCGTGATGCTCTGAAAAGGCAGCTTTCAACGGAAAGATGGGAACGGTAAGGAACAAAATGTTAGCATTGGACGATGTTTTTATTTATCCCCTATCCTATTCCAAATAGGGTTTAATAGGACTTAAAAACAGCCAACCGTCCTCTAGCGTGTGATCGATCTCCTTTTGAAGTAAGCGACGTCTCTACGCCCTGCTCAACCTGAGTTTGCTGGTTGTGTGATTCCGTGTCCCTAAAACCCGACCAACGCCGACTTCCCTACTAGACAGGTCTGATCCTAAAAACGACACGTTGAGTTCCTACTGGAATCTTGCGTGTTTAAATAACTGGGCTTTACCTCATTAGCTGCCAAGTTGATTGATGCATAACGCAGACTTACTATTTTATCTTACTCATAACCTGTTCCATATTCTCAACATGCCTTACTTTCCCGTTTAATGCCCGTGGTCCTCAGTTCCACTCCTGAACCGCGAGCGGAGCCCCGGGCTCCTGGGAATAGGCGCTCCTTGGCTCGTCTTCAAGCCTGGGCTTCTTTAGCAGAGGATTCAGCCCACGCACAGTGTCGGGGATCTGCGTTTTAGTCCTTCCGTGTCCTTTACGCTCACTGTTTTTTCCCTGCTGAATGATTTGTCGCCTTTTCCTGACTGGCTGCAGCCCACGACGGTACTCGCCCCCCTGTGCTCCTTGGCGGCATCCAAGAGAGACGCCGTGCTCCCCTCCCATAAGGGCCACCTCTTTTCCTGTCTCCGGATCAAGCTGCCAGCTCTGTTGTAATGACAGCCACCAGCGGCAACGCCCTGGTGCACGCACGCTCCCTTTGGGACCCCCCCGCTCCACTGTGCAGAGAGCTGCCCCCCACCCCACCGGAGGAGGGCCCTACCAGCTCCCACAGGCAGGGCTGCTGGGCTGGCCCCAGAGACGACATTCTGTCTCCCTGCGTCTCACTGAATCCCGAGGTCCCCACTGCTCTGACATCCCCTTCCGTCTCACGGTGAGCACGGCAGGTGGACCCTGCGTTCAGCCTCCTCCGTGTGGGGGCTCTGTCCTAGGTTCTATCGAAAGAAAGAGGGTAGGAGCCACCAACGGGGTCCTCTGCCAGCCAGAAATGGGGAGCCTATCCTGTCCCCACCTGACCCTCCCACTGCCATGGCCCACCGCGCACAGCCCTCCCCACACGCCTCAGGCCATCTCTCTCCTCGTCCCGGCCACCCCCACCCCCGCCACTGGGGCCCAGGCCTCAGCTCCTGGAGTGACCGAGGCGCCCAGCTGAGCTCTTGGCCTTCACGCCAGCTCTGGGGGGGTTGGGGGGGCGCTTCTCCTCCAGACAGCTGGGAACAGCAGGAGCCTCACACAAGTGTCCTGCAGGAGGGACTGAGCTGCCACCAACATGCCCCGAGGTCCTGGGCAGGCTCTCTGCAAAGTGGGAAGAGGAGTCTGCCTGTCCACACGGTGCTCTGCACAGTGCCGGGCACACAGTGGGGCCAAATAAGTGACGAGCTTCAGAACCACTGGACACACGCAGGGTCGAGAGCCCTGAAGGCCGTAGGACTCCACGTCATGGCTATGGGCACACGCTCGCTCTGTGAACCGTGGTCTCCAGGCCGGACGGAGGACACGAAGACACCCACGCCCCCCGGGCCCCCACCCCCTGGTGCTGGGGGCACACCTTTCCTCTCACTCGCCCCGCGGCCTTCTGAGACGGCACAGGCCGAGGGAGCGATGGGACTATGCTGATGTGCCGTGAGGGTCACGCCGGTGTTCAGCTGGGGTCGAGGTGCGGCCCAAATGGGATGCCTCCGCCAGCGTGGGGCAAACCTCGCCCGGGTCCAGGACCCGAGAGCAAGGGGTCCACTGGCACCACCGGGAGCAAGCCGTCCGCGTTGCGGACAATCCTTCTGTTATGGGCAGGGTTGTGCTCTCCTGGCAGTTACGTGGCGAATTCCTAACCTCCGGTATCTGTGAACGTGACTGTACTTGGAGAAGGGGTCTTTCTAGAGGTGGTCAAACGAACATGAGGCCATTAGGGTGGCCCTGCTCCAATGTGACTGGTGTCCCTACAAACAGGAAATCCGGACAGAAAGGCAGACAGGTGTAGAAGGTGGCGTGAAGGCACAGGGAGAGGCCGGCTGGCTACGAGCCGAGCACACAGGCCCGGAGGCATCGCTCCCTCGTGGCCTCTGACGGAACCGACCCCGTGTCCACACCTGGATCTCGGGCGGCCGGCACTGGGAGACGACAAACCTCTGAGGCTCGAGCCCCAGCCTGTGGGGTTTTGTTCCACAGCCCCAGCTGACAGGCACACTCCTTGCTGGCATTCTCTGATCGGTCTCATGCCGCCCTGTCTGATAGATCCTAGGACCCACACACCCACCGGGCAACAGAGAGGCGGACCAGGAGGGGTCCTGGGGGAAGGCTGGGGCCTGGGGTGGGGGGCTGTCTCTGGACCTGAGTTGGTAGCATCCTAAGGATGAGGAAGGGGCCAAGGGAGACGTTTCCTCCTGGGGTCAAGGCCCCATCAAGGCCAAGTGTGACCCTTGGGTGATGCTGAGGCTCTTGCCAGCTCTCCGGCCCTTGCGGCCTTGGCCTTGTCCTTGAGGTCACCTGCCGCCCACACCCACTTCTCCCAGCCAGGCCCCCCTGACCTTCGTCCTTAGCATCCCACCGCCACAGGCTCCCGGACACGCAAGCCTCAGCCACAGGGCCCAGCGTGTCCGCTCCCGCTTGGCTGGCCCCGCGCCACCCGCCCCACGCGTGACCTTGGCGGGTCGCATCCCCCACCCAGCGTCCGTATCCCCATCTGTAACGAGAGGGCCCTTCTCGCGCCAAGGCCTCAGGGTCCAGCCCCAGTCCTGGCCACCTGTGGGACCGCAGGGGCACCAGCCCCCGGGGCCATCGAGGTGGACGAGGCCAGGGTGGCCCTCCCTCGGCCGGGTCCCCTGCTTCCCCTCGGCAGGTGCCTCTCACACAAGGCTTCTCGTCACGGTGAAGGTGAGTGGAACAGCTTTAAGAAAACAGAAAGCGCTTTACAGGGTGTCTCCAGAAGACAGAACCGAAAGCCCGGAGCCCCGGGCAGAGGTGGGCCGTGGTCCCTAGTACTTGAGAAGCCAACGGGGTTTGTGCTGGCTTATCGATGTGAAGTAGGACCACCACCAGGGCTTGCTCCCGCCGGCCGAGGGCTGCCTCCGCGCCCCGAGGGGCTCCTGGCCGGGCTCCTGGGGCTCTCCGTACGGGCTGGCACCTCCCAGCGGGTCACGGGCTGCAGACCCGCTTCTCCGCGGCCCGAGGAGGAACTTCTTGGGTCCGGTCCCCAGGGGCTGGAGAATGAAGTCCACGCGGCCAGCCCTCTTCATCCGGGCGGGGATGGTGACTTTCTTGATGACCTTGGAGTAGCCGGGGGCTTGAGCTATGACGATGTGGGACCCCGGAGGCAGCAATCTCCAATAGTCCCCGTCTGGGGCTGCAGATAAACAGGACACGAGTGATTCTCCGACCTGGGTTCAGATTCGGGCTCGAGGTGACCAGCGCCGGGGGTCCCAGGGGCATCGGCCTCAAGCAGACCCCGGATTTGCACCTGCCTCTGCACTGGGGTGGAGCACCCCTCCCGTCTGCTCCCTCTGAGCGCGTCCCGGAGCCGCCGCGACGCAGGTCCCGGGAGGGTGCTCACCTGTGGTGATGTCGTGGCGGATGCCCTTGACTAAAATCCGGGCGTTTTTGACCGGCTTGCCAAACTTGTCCATCACCACACCTTTGATGCCCCGGTGCACCTGAAGAGACGGGGGGGGGGGGGGGGGGGGGGGGGGGGGG